CCGCTGGCCTCGAGCTTCTTCAGCGGCGCCTCCGCTCCCCGTTTCTTTTGTTGTCTGGTCGTCGGTCAGCGAAGCGCTTCGCCTTGCCCGCGCGTCATTCCTCCCGCCGCCAACCTCGTTGCATCGCCGCACTTGGATGATCGGCACCCTCGTCATCGGTAGCGAGCGTATGGCCCATTCCTGCCGCTCGCGTTTGATCATCTCCCTCACGGCCGCCGTAAGTCCCGGCATGATTAATTCGACGATTGGCTCGGTGGCTGCTGCTCGGGCGTTGGTCGGTTGGTGCAGCTCAGCGCACGGCTGCATTCTCCCCGTCAAGTCGAGCTTCGGGCTTGCCTCGCTCGCTCGACTTACCTCTAACTCGGCAGTCGTTCGCTGTTGCTGCTTAAGCCGTTGGTTTTTCGATCCATGTTCGATCGCGCGTTCCTGTCGCTCCTCTCTGTCTTTGTTTTCGAATAAGCGGCGATTGATCATTCTCGCGTTTCGCGCCGCTTTTCGTTGGCTCGTCGGTTCGTACGTGACCCACGTGTTTGTTTCACGTTGGAATCTCATGCTCGACCGTTCGTCATCTTCAGCGTCGTTGACCTCGTTGTCGTCCTTCTCGTCGCTGTCGTCGCCGTCGACGTCGCTGACCCACTCACCGCGCTCGTCTTTGCTTCGCATCACCGCGGCAAGCAGCGTTGGTGTTGCTATGCGCGCCGTATCGCTGTCCGCCCGATCGATCCGATCAGCTGTACTTTCCCCGCTTTGTCCGCTGGTTGTCGAGCTGTCGGTTAACTGGCTTCCCGTTCGTTCCGTTCCTGTGGTGGACGATGTCATTTCGTCACTGGGAGTTTCTCTCATCGAGCCGACTGTGACTGCATCCGAGTTTGATTTGCTTCGCTTCGCCATCACTTTTGTCGATTCCACCGTCGTTCGCGGCGTCTTCGCTGTGCGGTCCGCTCGCCGTTGCTGTCCCTTCGGTGGTTCGTCCGCCGTCGGTTGCCGCATCAGTTTTCGCGCTTTCCCACTTCGTTCGTCGTTGTCGCCTACTCGCACGTGTATATCAAATTCATCGACATCCACAATGATCCGATGTGGCTTCGTTATCGGTTTTTTACCTCGGCTTTGGCTGATTGTGATCGTCGTTGCGGCTATGATGCTGCCGTCAATCGAGTCGCGCACTTGTATCTCTTTTGAACGCGTCCAATCGCGTTGTTGCAGTTCCTCACAGTATCTTATCGCCCTGGCCAGTCGAAGGTTGGCCTCGTGATCTCGTTCCGCTTGTTCTTCGTCTTCCGGCGTCAACGTTGGTAATCGCGCGGCATATTCTTCCGCGAATGTCAGCGCCTGTCTATTTTGGCGTCGCTGCTCGAGAACTTTGTTCACTTTCTCGATCGCGCGCGTCACCTCGTTCCGTCGCATCCGCTCGTTATCGTCGAACGGCCGCTCGTTCGGTCCTTTATCGCCGTTGTCCCCGGCGTCGTTGTCGTCGTGTTCGCGGTATCGCTTCATGGCTCTACTCTGACTCACCGCGTCGCTTTCGACACCGCTCGTTTTGTTTTTTCGCACTACGTTTCTCACCTGTTCCGCGCACTCGCGAGTTTCATTTTCGACACTTTTCGCTTCGCGTAGGTCGTTATCGTTTGACGAGGTCGCGTTTTGTTTATCCATCCGGTGCGTTATTCTGTATCGGTCCGGTGCTACGCGTTCTGCCGTCGCGGTTTCTTCGATTTCGGTGACCTTCGGTCGCGCCTCGGTTTTGCACGTTTCGCTCGCGTTGTCGCATTTCGCCCGTTTGTATATTCGCTCACTCGCGTTCGCGTCGGTCTCGACGGGTTTGTCGGTCGTGTTCATCGTCTCGCGCCTCTCGGTGTCACCTTGACGCGTTTCCGTTATCGCGGTTTTGCCATTCGCATCGTCGACGTTTTCATCCGTTTCGCCGCGCGACATTCTTTTTTTTTTTTTTATTTGCGCGAAATTTTGTCTTTTAATCATGTACGCACCGTCTTCACCTCCGCTGATGATGACGCTGTTGTCTCCGCCCCCTATGTATTCGGCCTCCACGATGTCCTCTTCTTCAGCTGCTTCCGCCTCCTTCGATTCCATCGTTGTCGGTCGTTGTTGCTGTATTTCCGTCACGGGTTTGAGCTCCCGTTCGAATTCCTGGTAGTCCATGGTAGCTTGGTCCTCGCTGTCGTTCCAATCTATTGACATCGCGTTGATTCGCCTTCCCCTGGGTGGCGCGTCCTCTTCAGTTTCCAATATTCCTGTCGGCTCTTCCTCGTCGGAGATTTCAATCGGCCTACTACGGTCGTCACCGGTGCGTGCGTACAGGTGGTCCATCGTTGGCCAACTGTCGATTTCGTCGTCCGTTATTTCCGACTCACGATCACGTTCTCCCCTCCTTTGGTTCGCGTGGCTTGTTTCGATTGGTTGACTAGCCCACACTCGTTCGTGTCTTTGTTCGTCCTCGCTGTCGGATCGCATCCATCGGTCTATGATGGCTCGCCATCTACTTTCGCTGTATTCGTCCGATTCCGCTGGCGGATGATCCTCATTGCCGCTCGGTTGGACTATCCCGTCGTTGTCGATGTCACTGCTCAGCTCTATCGTCTCTTCGTGGCGGTGTCCGGTCAATTCCCGACGATCATTGTCGCTTTCGTCGTCGTCGGCGTCAATGTCCCTCGCTCTGATTTCCGCCTCGTTGACATCTTCTCGGTCGCTCACGTTCGACTCCCCGTCATACGCGGAATCATCCCATGACCTGGCTGTTTCACGCTCATCGTCAGCCTCTTCTTCGCGATCGCTCGCCCCTGACTCCCCGTCATTCGCGGAGTTGGTCAGCGATCTGGCGTACGTGGCTCGCCTCCGGTTGTCATCCTCTTCACGATCGCTCGCCCCTGACTCCCCGTCATCCGTGGAATCGGTCAGCGATCTTGCGGACTCTCGTTCGGTTTCGGTTGTCTCGCCGCCGTCGTCGTCGTCGTGATACCCGTCATCATCATCATCGCTTTCCGTTTCATCCGGCTCGCCCTCGCCTCTCAATCTTGGCAATCTGTTGGGTTTCAATTGACGGGCGTTGAACACCCCGATTGTCTGACCGTCGAGGTCCTCGATCAGATAAGCGTTCGGTCGTATCACTTCTCGCACTCGGTACGGTCCTTCGTAAACCAAGTGTATTTTTCTCGTTAATCTACGGCTGGCGTCCGATCTGCGGTGTCGCTTCACCCAGACCTGCTGTCCCGGCGTGTATTCCGCCGTTCCGTGTTTGTCGGCTTGTATTTTTCGCTTGCGCGCCGCTTCGGCTAACCGTCTCCGCGCGGTTTCCACTTTATCCGCCCACGCCTGTTCCGCTTCGCCGTCGTTTAGTTCGCATGGCGCATAGCCATGCGACGCGTGTCTCGTGTGGTTAATTACCTCCTCCGCTCGCCTAACTATGCGGCTCCACGCGCGATGCCGCTGACTCGCGTATGCCCGAATGATTCTACCTAATTCCCGCATCACCCGTTCGACCGGGTTCGCTTGCGGATTGTACGGCGATGTACGTCTCACGCCGAAACCCCTTTCGCGCCCGTAGTTTCGCCATCACGCGGTTAGAAACTGTCCTCCGTTATCCGTCAGTATCACCTCGGGCACGCCTATTTCAGCGAAAAATCCGTTTTCTAGATTATCGATCCAATCGTTGGTCACGCATCGGATAAAGCTTTACGTATTTGGCAAATTGGTCCATCAACACGAGAATATATTTTTCGCCGTGCTGCGTAGCCGGTAGGGGACCGAATATGTCGAGTGACAAAACTTGTCCCGGCGCCTCGGGCAATTCGTAATATTCAGTTCCGACGGTTGCTCGCGTGTAATATTTCGTGGCTTGGCACACCTCGCACGATGCCACCACGTCGCGCGCAATTCGCGCAAAATTTGCGCCGTCGAAATAACGCTGCAGAAAATCATGCACCTTGTCGGTGCCGAAGTGCACGAGCAGTCGATGCGTCGCTCGCGTCATTCGCCACGCTATCGCTTGCGGTAACGCGATTCTCTCGCCACCCGGCTGTTTCCGTATTCTTATTAATCCGTCGCGCTCGTATACCTCGTTCGGGTTGACGCGTCTCTTCTCTTGTAATTTTGCGTCGTTCGCTTGCGCTTGTCTAATCACGTCGAGCCACGCAGTTGTGTCCTGCCCTTCGTGAATATTTCTTATCAACGCGATTCGCTTAACTTCCACCTCGCGCGCATCCCCGTTCGCCCCGCGTCTCGATAACGCGTCCGCGATTTCGTTTTCCGTGCCCGGCAGATGTATCACCTCCAGGTCAAATTCCTGTAGAAAAGCGAACCATCTCGCGATTCGCGCATTATTCTGCACGCAAGTACTCAGGAATTTTAATGCTTGATGGTCCGTGTGCACCCGCACGTGCCTGCCCATCAGCAGAGTGTGCCACTTGCGCAATGCCCACACCAATGCTAAGCATTCGAGCTCGGTAATAGTGTAATTAAGTTCGGCTCCCTTTAGACTTCTACTCGCGTAACCTATCGTTTGCTTCGCGTGTTCCGCCTCCGGCAGGTATTGATAGAGTCGCGCTCCTAATCCGGATCTCGCCGCGTCTACGTATATACCGTATTTCGCGTTTGGTTGGAAAAGATATAAGTCGGTCGCGTCGTGAAAAGCTCGTTTGATATTATTGAAAGCGCGTTGTCTCTCGGCTGTCCACTCGTACTTTTGACCTTTTTTCAATAATTCTTCGAGCGGTCTTGTCATTCGCGCTAGATTCTTAATGAATCTACGATCCCAATTAATCAAGCCTAAGAAGGATTGTATTTGCTTCTTGTTCATCGGTCTTTCGAAATTCTGTATCGCCATTCTGGTTTCCTGATTTATCTCCGTTTTGATTTCGTTAAATGTATGTCCCAGGAATCTTATCTCCTCTCGCAAGAATTCGCATTTTTTCTCGTTCAGCTTGAAACCGAATTTCTCTAATTGCGACAACACCCATTCTATGTGAAACAGATGTTCCTCCAATGTATCAGACATTATTAGCACGTCGTCCAAGTAAGTCAGCAAGAATTCCTGATCACCCAGCGCTTCGTGCATCGCTCGCGTGAACGACGCTCCCGATGTTTTCAGGCCGAATGGCATTCGCTGAAATACGTATGTTTGCCCGTCGAAGAAAAATCCCGTATACTGTTGAGACTCCTCCTCGAGTGGTATTTGCCAAAAGGCGTTGCTCACGTCGAGCGTTGTAAAGAACTTCTTTTTCCCGATCCTCCGGAAAATTTCCTCGATTGTCGGCGGTTGCGCATGGTCATTCGACATGTGCTTATTGCATTCCCGCGCGTCCAGACACAATCGAATATCGCCATTTTTCTTTATGACCACAACGAGCGGATTAACGTATTGCGTCGCTTGTTTCTTAATTATTCCCTTCTTCTCGAGGTCCTTTATATATTCTCTTACTCGATTCATATGAATCTCGGGAATCGGATAGGTTTTCCTTTTGTATGGTCTTTTTATGTCCATTTCGATCTTATGCTTATAATGGTTGACCTTTCCTATCTCTCCGCTGAACAATTTCGCGTGTTTTTTCAAGATGGCTTGCAATCTATCCTGCGCTTCGTCCCGTTTCATTGCATTTACTCGGTATTGTTGCGGTGCTACGCTGCTGCGAAATTTTACGTCTATCGCTTCGTCGCATGCGAGCATCATTCGATATTTTACAAGAAAATCGATACCTAGCACCACGTCGTACGCTAAGTTCTCAACGATGAAAAATTCATGTACAAACGTCTCGTCTCGATATTCGAATTGAATTCGCGCTTTTTGCGATATTACCGCGCCTCTCTCGGAAAACGCTCCTCGCAACGTAAATTTTTTGATCGGCAACACTTCTATACGCTCGTCGGTTTCTCGCAACTGTTCGTAAAACGCTCGCGTCATCGCGGTCACCTGCGCGCCCGTGTCTATCAACGCGCGCGTCGAACACGCGCCAAACTTCATCATGATCATCGGCACGTCGGGTTGCGTTACACGTTTGCGTTGCTCTTCCTCCATTTCGCGATCTAGCTCGCGTATAATTTCGCGCGTTCTAATTATATTCATCGGACTTGACGATTGTTTATCATTGGTCGTCGCGCGTTCATCGTCATTGACGTTGCTCTCGTTCACTTGGCTCGGCGCCATTACCGTTGCCGTTTTTGCTTTCGTCTCATCGGTTTCCGCTGCTTTGTCAGCGATTTTTGGTTGTTCGCGCTCTTTCGCGCTACTTATCGCGCAACATGTTTTTTCAGCGCTTTCCGCATAATCGTCCTCGCTCGCTCGCTCGTGCGCTCGCTCGTCGAGGTCTGATTCGTCGCTACGCGAACTCTCCTCCGTAATTTCATATCCGTTTGGATTTTTCTGTTCGTCGTCGTGCGCGGTCATGGTAATCGCGGCCATTTTCCTACCGCCGCTTTTCGCGTTTCCGCGATCTCTCGTGTAGCGCGTCACTTTCGGTCGACCTGCGTTATCGTCACTGTTGGGTAATTCCGTAATGTCAACCGCGTTGCTTCGCTCACCGCGTCTAGCGGTTGCCGCTCGATTGGTCGCGTCCGTTCGTCTCCAACCGCCGCCGGTCGTTGACGTTGATCTCTGTTGTTGTCCGCCACCGGTCGCATCGGTCGCTGATCTACGCGCGTCGCCGTATCGCGCGTTCGCGCCCGTCGTTGCGGTTGCTCTCGCGTTACCACGCGCCTGATCTCCCCATCGTTGACCGCTTCCGCTCGTTCCCGATCGGTTTGCGCTTTGCGCGTTGCCCGTCGACGCCTGGTTATTGGCGCGTCTCGCAGCTTCTCCGCGCAATCGTCGCGTCTCGCGCTCATTTTCAATCGTGTCGAGCATAGCGATCATTTCGTTGACCGTTCGGACCACCGATGGTCTTAACTCGCGCGCCACGTCCGCGTCAAAATGTTTGCGCAACGTTTGAACGATCTCCTCGTCGCTCATCGGCGGTACGAGAGTCTTCGCTTGTCGCGCGATCGTCAACGCGTACTCCGTCATCGTGCCGTCGCTCGACTGACCCGCCGTTCGATATTTACCGAAGTAGATCAATTGACGGAAACGCATTTGCGCTTGAGTTCCCCAAAAGTGTTGTACGAACAGTCGTTTGATCTCGCTTATGTCCTGAGCCAATTGCATCTCGAACCATTGGCTCGCCGGTCCGCGCATACAACGCCCGAAATAGAACAATTGATCGTCCTCCGGAACGTTTTCGTATCGCGCTAGCTTTTCGAATTTCTCGACGAAACGCATCGGGTTTTGTTTGTCGCTCTTGCCCCGGTAAGCGATTTCGTCGAACGGGTTCTTGATCCACCCGCCACGCGGTAATCTAGCCCCGAACGGCATCACGGTCAGCAACGTTTGCTGCTGTTGCAGCGGTTGCTGCTGCGCGTTCGAGCTTGTCGCGTTCGCGCTCGTTGCTCCGCGTTGCTCGCGCGCTCGCTCCCCGCTGTCGTCGCGCCTCCTCCGGGAATCTCCTCGTTCGCCGTCGCTCGCGTCATCACCCACGCTCGCGTTATCCTCCGTGGCGAATCTCCGATTCTCCCGTCGTTGCTGAGTTCTCAACCGTTCCAGCTCTTCCGCCATTCTCTCCATGGCCATCGCCATCTCAGCGTTTTGCTGCTGAATCATTCGTACGGTCTCAGCCGTTTGTTCATGTCCGCCGCTGAGATCGAGAATTCTGTTGTTATTCGCGCCTTCGTCGCGCGTAATTCGCTGATTCACGTTCAACAACATCTCGTTCAGGCCCTCGTCGTTCGATTGCTGCTGCTGCTGCGTATTCGACGCCATTTCGCGCTGGTCGTCGGTCACGCTGCTCTCGCTATCGCAACGTTGTTTCCTTTTATTTGTTCGACGCGATCTATTGGCCGTTTGTTCGATTTGCCGTCTCAACGCTTCATCCGTCACCACGCTTCGCGATCTCGTGTCTGTTCTTCTAGGCGGTGGTGTATGCTTCAGCCGCGGCATACCACCTTTCCGATCGCTTTGTTCGCAGCGCTCCTCGCTGCTCTTCGCGCGTTTGTGCGCTCCCCGTCACTTTAACTATTCGACGTTACTCGATTCGTTTCGGTATATCTCTACGCTCGCCAAATCCGTGCTGCCCTTGCAACGTGTTTGTCACGGAATCGCTCTGCCCGGTCGTTACATACGCAATAGTCGACTCCCACGTTCGTTTGACGCCCGTTGTTTTCGATCTGGTCTCGCGTTTTCCGAATTTTCACCCTTCGAATCTTCGCGTCTTTGCTCGTGACTCTGCTTCCTATTCAGCGCTTTACGCTCGGTTCCGCGTTCCGAACTTCCGTTCGCGAAACGCGTATTTTCTTTAAAAAAAAATTTTGGATTTTTCAGGCCTCTGGCCTTTGTTCTTTTCCGTCGTATGGAAAATTCACTGTATTTCAGCCCTCGGGCTTAACACGGTATCGCGTACCTTGCTCCCGCGTTGGTATCACGGTCCGCTTACTTCTTAGCGCTTTGC